AAAAAAAAAAAAAAAGAATTGGAGTTACAGATGGTTGTGAGATGCCAGGTGGGTGATGGGAATTGAACCCAGGTCAATTCCAGAAGAGTAGTCAATGCTTTTGACCTCTGAACATCTCTAGCCCCGCCCCCTTTTTTCTATTCAGGAGGATCAAAATGCAGGTGAACTTGAGAATTTCTCCTTCCTGTCACTACCATACATTTTGTGCAACAACTTCATTTAATGTTTCTTTCTCAGTATTTAAGAGTATCTATCAGATTTTTGGAATACAAATAAGTTGAAATTGTACCGGGCGGTGGTGGCGCATGCCTTTAATCCCAGCACTCGGGAGGCAGAGCCAGGCAAATCTCTGTGAGTTTGAGGCCAGCCTGGTCTACAGAGCGGATCCAGGAAAGGCACAAAGCTTTCTAGAGAAACTCTGTCTCAGAAAACAAAAACAAACAAACAAACAAACAAAAAAACAAAAAACAAATAAGTTGAAATTATTGGTAACTAAATAATACTCAACCCCACATTATGGCAGAAGGCATCAATTTTCTAGCTGAAGGTTAGACTTTTACTAGCTTTTACTGTGGTGATTTTTTAAATAAAGAATTTTTTAAATAAAGAATTAAATAAAGAATTTTTAAATAAAGAATTGGAGGGCAGCAGAGATGGCTCAGTGGATGAATGCGATTGCTACAAAGTCTGAGTTCAATCCCTGGGACCCACATAGGGGAAAGGAGAGACCCAGTTCTTGCATAAAACTGTCCTTTGACCTCCACACATGGGCTATTGGATGTGTGTACACATGTGCACACACACACACACACACACACACACACACACACACACACACACACACACACAAATAAATAGATGAAACGCAGAGAGAAAAAGAACTGAAAAACTGTAACAGTGGCTCAGATCCCTTGAAAGTTCTCATCAATGCATCATCTTGGTCATGGCCATGGCCTATTCTCCACTTATGACGGCGGAACTCTCTTCTGTGACTTTCTAGGTTTATGAATAGCTTGTATTGTACTGGATATGATGATTAATAAATGCAACACCAAATATGTTATGTTCTGAATCAATCACTGTTTGATCAATATCTATATTTATTGAGAATGCGAGTGGAAAAGGGAAGGCACAGAACAATCTCATTATTTAAAGGGAAGATCAGGTACTAGTGACTTTCTATTTGGCGTTTACTGCCTTTTGTTGACTGCAAGTTGAGACTCATTAACGGTGGGCTATAGTCCGCGTGCGGTGCCAGCAAGATGAGCTGGCAAATGTTTCAACTTCTCAGAAGGAAAAATGAAATGTGAAGTTTGACTCTTGCTGTGTCATACAAATGATAGCCCCCTAACAACCTTATATCTGTTTTTAAGGTATGAATGTAATGACAATATTCCTGAAAAGTTAGCCATCTATTCTTTAAAGTGGATACCAGTGATCTTAGTGTACTTACTACAAGCTGTAAGCAACATTCTCAATGAAAAACCAATTAGAAGGAAATAGATATTAGAATCCCTGAATGAATTTAATGAACTGCAAAATTTTAATTTGACATGTCTGTGTTCATGTGGGTTTTAGTATATGTATGTGAATCTTGTAATATAAAATATTTTTATTTAATTTATTTATTTTTATGATGGCAAGGAAGAAGTAAATAACACTCAACAAGTTTACTTTGACCTTAGCTCATCACAGAAATTATAATAAGACAATGACTGTTAAGTAGTCAGATTAAAAATTAGTCTTGCTCAAATGCAGCTCAATAATGGCCCTGTCACTTTTCTCTAGACCGGAAGCTGCCTCCCCATCCTCACTGTCCTTCTGACAAGTTGGCTCCTCACAGCCCAAAGGGAGGAAGTAAAATGGTTAAAAAAGACAAAAAGCTCAAAATAAAAAATGAAAAAAAATTTCCAAAAAGAAACTATTCAAGTCAGGCACAGTTATGAAAACTAATCTAGTATATTAGAGCCTAAGATGATTTAGTAATTTTGTTTTCATTTTTATTATTCTTTGAGAGTTCATATACAAATACATATTTGGTCATTTCACCCCCTATTACACTCATTCCTTCGTACTTCCAATAAAGTCCTTTTCTTCCCAGTAAGTGTGTTCCACTATTTTACTGTCATTTTGGATTGTTAATTTGTTCTCTCTCTCTCTCTCTCTCTCTCTCTCTCTCTCTCTCTCTCTCTCTCTCTCTCCCTGCACATGCGCGCATGCACGTGTGTGCCATCTACTGGGTTTAATTAGGGACACCTGAAAATGCATGGCTGTAGGATTCTTTACTGGAGCCTGAATAGCTTAATAGTTTCTACAACACTGAGGAAAACGGTTCCACCTCCCCCAGGGACCATCAGCCATCTTTATCTCCTCAGGGACCAGTGAGACCTCATGAACGCCTCTCCCATCTCTGGACTATTTTTTAAAATGAAATGATCTGATATATTCTCCCCCTCCTCTCTCTCCCCTCATCCCCCTCCCACCAAGTACTTGGGCCAAACTGGTACAAATCACTGAAGTAAAAACAAATACTCCCTCCCACACCAATATCTCCTCATTCAGAGAGAAAACAAACAATTCAGACAATTGGTCTTTGGTTCTATCCTAGGTCTCAGGGCTGTCTGGCCTCTGGGTCCTGCCCTCCAGGCACTGTCAGGGATGTGCTCCCTCTGATGATATGCGTCTCAAGCTGGACCAGTCATTGGTTGGCCACTCCAATAATTTCTGTGCCACCTTTACCCCAGCACATCTTGTAGGCAGGGCAAATTGTAAGTCAAACGTTATGTGACTGGGTTGGGGTCCCAAAATCTCATCTGGAAATATTGCCTGGTTACAGGAGATGGCCAGTTAAGGCTCTATATTTCTGGTTGCCAGGAGTCTTAGCTAGGGTCACCCTCCTAGATTCTAGGGAGTTTCTACTGCACTAGGTTTCTAGCTCACCCCATGGATTACCCCTCTGATTCCAGTTGTCTTTCCCAGTACTCCTTCCCACCATCTTCCCCCAACCTGATCCCTCCTGTTCCATGCTCACCCCCATCCAGACCCCCACCCCACTTTCCATCCACCTGTGATGTGTGTTCTATTTCTCCTTCACAGTGAGATCCATGTGCTCCCCCTCCCATGATCCTTCCTTGTTACTTAGCTTCTTTAGGTCTGTGGATTGTAGTCTGGTTATCCTTTACTTTATGAATAATATCCACTTATAAGTGAATGCACATCATGTTTTTCTTTCTGGGTCTGGGTTACCTCAGGATGATCTTTTCTAGCTCTATCCATTTGCCCACAGATTTCATGATGTCATAGTTTTAAACAGATGAATAATAAATACTCCATTGTATAAATATACCATAATTTCTTTATTCATTCTTTGATGGACATCTATGTTATTTCCAGTTTCTGGCTATTATGAATAAAACTGCTATGAATAATGTTGAGCAAGTGTTCTTGTGGTATGGTAGAGTGTCTTTTGAGTATATGCCCAGGAGTGATAAAGTTGGGTCTTAAGATAGATCAATTCCTAGTTTTCTGCCATATTGATTTCCAAATTGGCAAAAAAAAAATTCCTAATGATATTCTGCTATACTCATAGATTGTTGCCAGAGAGGCATCACCCAGCAACTGATGGAAACAGATGCAGAGACCCACAGCCAAACATTAGGCAGACCTTGGGGAATCCTATGGAAGAGGCAGAGGAAGGATTATGGGAGCCAGAGGGGACAAGGACACCACAAGAAAACTCATAGAATCAACAAACCTGGGCTCTTTGGAGCTCACAGAGACTCAACCACCAACCAGAGAGCTTGTATGCGACTGACATAGGTCCTCCGCACAGATGTTATAGTTGTGTAGCTTGGTCTTATGGCTCTCCTAACAGTGGGGCCAGGGACTGTCTCTGACTCTGTTACCAGCTTTTGGGACCCTTCCCTCCCACTGGGTTGCTTCATTCAGCCTCAATAGGAGAAGAGGTGCCTAGTCTTACTGCAACTTGATATACCATGGTTGGCTGATACACATGGGAGGCCTGCCCTTTTCTGAAGAGAAAGGAGGAGGAGTGGATAGGGGTGGGTGGGAGAGGGGAGGTTGAGGAGAGAAGGGAGGGAGGAAAAACTGTAATTGGGCTGGAATAAATACATAAATACATAAATAAATAATAAATAAAATAATAAAAAAGACAATTATTCTTGCCTTGGATATCAGTCAGCATTTAGTTTAACTTCATGTATTTTTAGTATATGGCAGTTTGGGCACATTCTCTTTCTAGAATGAAAGCCAAATAACCAAGACATCAGATCTGAAATTACTGTCCTTCATTTGGAAAAAGCCAACTGAAGTTCGCTGGGACACTGAAGTCCACAGACTATTACAGTATCCTCGAGGGAGGAAAGTGAAATGGCCATTACATCAGGAATCTGCATGAAGCCTTCTCTCCCCATCCTGGATCTGCCTTCTTCACGGCAGCCCTCTTGAGAGCACAGACAAACGGATATATGAGGGGATGTTAATTCTCTGCACGGAACTTTCCAGAACTTCCTGCATCACACCCATCAAAGACACCAGAAGAAACTCAAGGAGGTGAAACGAACATTCTAAGAAACAAAAGGTACTGCATCATTAAAAAGAATTGGAAACAAACTGACCATTTTTCACTAATACAAATACTTGGAGATTAGAGTGTGTTACCCTTGGGTTGTAACAGAAAAGGTAGAGTTTTGTCTCCCTAACTTGAAAATAATTATTGTGGTGTTCCTGTGAAAGGCTTTAATTTTTCCATCAAAATTTGTTTGGTAGGGTTTACAAGTTTCTATGTAACATATAAAACATTTTTACTAAGTTCAAAAAGTATATAAGACATGACTCAATAATTGTAAGGTATTTTAATAATGCTAAGATGCATTTTCTTCTTTGGCATTTTAACAAAAATAACATTTATTATTCAAATCCCTTCCAGATGCCATGCATTATTTTAATATCTTCCCCTGCATGCAGCATGTACTTAAGATTTCTGTTGCTGCTTCCTTCTCAGAACTGCTCCTTCATTCCAAACACACAGAATGCCTGCAGCAGAAACGCCAGATCTCTGTGATCTAAAATAGTTCTTGTCCAGTTTGATGAGTGTACAAACAGCATGCAAACATTGTGAAGGTGTGTCTTTGGGGGGGGGGTGGCCTGATTTTTTGTTTCAAGCCCATTTCCAGGAAATGAGAACAAGACTGGCCTACAGATTACTTTTATTAGGACGGGCTGAGGCCATAAATACTTTTGCTGCCCAGATAAATCGGTAATGAATGGCAGCCAGAAAGGGATAAAGGTTTCATTGGAAAAGGGGCTGGGAGAGCCAGAGTTTAATACTGGTCCCAGCGTGCAATTGCAGTGGCCACTGCAAGATCGGAGGTATTTTATAGACATGAAACAGCTGGGACCATGCAATGAAACAAACTTACATTTGGCGTAGTGGGTGTAATAGTGTCTGTAATCCCAGCACCAGGGAGGCTGAAGAAGCAGGGCTGCCGTGAGTACCAAGCCAGCCTTGGTTACAGAGTGAGACCCTGTCTCAAAAAGCAAAACAGAACAATATAAAAGGAGAAAGATTTGGGGCAAGTAGTTTTGAAACTTTTAGATAGCCAAAATTTATACTGTTTTCTGAGTTTTGCTTGTATTTGGTGGTGGGGGGGGGGGTAGGAGGGAAGGGTTTGTTTGCTGTTTTCTAAACATTTTCTGTTGTGCAGTTATCTTAGTATTTTCCAAGACAGATTCAAGAACGCCACGAGACAGAGTGCTTTACTAATTAGGTTTCGATGATGTGTTGGAGCTAACGTCTTACTGTTTAATTGAACAAGTGATTCCTGCCCTAAACATGGCTTTGTTTTGTGTCATCAGGGTTAGCAAATAAATGGAATGCTACCTCACTTCTCTAGAAATTTACATTAAGACAAGGCACAGTGCTAGAAGGAAAAGAGTATTTGAAATCATCAGAAGAACTGGACTCACCACTCTCTAATTTCTTTGGTTACATCAATAATCTTATAAGATTAATTCCAACTGGGGACGTTTTTCTAAATAGCTTCTGACCCAAGCCTTTAATTCCAGCATTTGGGAGGCAGGAGGGTTTTGAGTTCAAGGGCAGCCTGGTCTATGTAGTTTCACCACTGCCTGGCTAGAGTAGACATTTTCAAGACAGCGTGGAGATCACTGTTAAAGGTACAGTGTGAGAGACTGAGGGGAGGAGAGTGTACATCAGAATTTCCATGGGAACAGATAGTGAAAAACACACTTGGTACACCTGCAGGGCCATAGACTGACCTGCCTGCAAGTCCAGGTGTGTTTCTCCCCTTCATCCATCAGAAAAGGTAAGTGTGGTCCTTAGGGAAGATGTGTTTCCAAAGATTCCCTCCTTCCCACTCCATGTCTAACATATTCTCCAATACTCCGTTTTAGTAGATAATTTCTGTTCTACTAATTTTCAAATAAAACAGCATTTAATGCAAGTTATAGGAAAAGCTCACCATACTTGCCTTCTGCCCTGCTCTATGGAAGAGAAGTTCCTCTGCCCATCCTTTGTAAGCATCCAAAATGTCATCCAAAAATCTGCCTGCTCCTACCTGCTTTTCAAAAAATATTCAGAAAATACAGCCCTGCCTGTTGTCAACAGATAAGGCTTATTTATGAACTGAAGTTGTTGCTGCTGTAAAAACCCGACACGTAGTTACAAAGGAAATTCATAGGAGAAATGTTTCCCTTTTCTCCACCTTGGTTTTCAGTGTGATGCTTACGCTCAACCTACTGCCAGTCCTGCAATGATTTCCAAGCAGTCTTGCCTATTTCAGTCTTAAATGTGGACAACAGAGAATGAAACAGAAAACACCCAGTCACAAACCTTAACAAATGCACTTTATCTTTCCTCACATGTTTCTTGTCATTTCTACTTATCATGGTCTTCATCTGTTTTATGAAACTCCTCATGAAGTTATACTGTTACTCTGTTGCTTTTATCTTTAAGTATCTTTAACAGAAATCAACACAAATCTCTTGAGACAAAATTGTCCTTTAGGTTCAGAATGATTTGGAGTCTTTAAAAACAGAATTTAAACCTGAGAGTTTGTGTTTAAAGATAACTATTTGTCTGTATAGTTGCTTGTTTTTGAGACAGAGTCTCTGGAACTCACCGTGAAGCCCAGGCAGGTTTGAGAGTCTGGCAACCTTCCTGCCTCAGCCTCTGGAGTGGTGGAGTGAGCTACCACTTTATGCTTTGAGACGATGTTTTAATGGTTTGTATAGAACTCAACATTATTTTCTGACCTGTGGAACTAGAAATAGAGAATCACAGTTAGTGTTAGTTCTAGGTCCTAAAATTGGAGAATCAGTTAAGAGAATAGTGGTGTCTATGTTACTCATTGACATGTACGAATATTTGTTTTCTGTGTTAGAATTTTGGATCATAATTTTTATTTCAAGCAGAGATTACAACATTTTCATTTTTAAGGCTAAGGAAATTAAGTTATGTAGTTAAGTTAAGTTCAGTGTGATATCATTATGTCTCTTATGTGTCCAGTAAATTTTCAATAGATTTTAATTGCATAATAACATCTTGCATTATATGTCTGACTCTTGGCACATGTATGCCAGCTTTGCCAGCTGGTAAACAGCGGTAAACTGTTTGAAATGTTTACATATACATATTTTTCCTTAGCAGTATGTTATTTCTGGTGCCTAAAACAGCTATAGAATTTCTGCACTTGAAGAATTCAAATTCTTGAACAAACATATGGGGGGAAACTTTGTGGTTTGACTTAAGATTTTATGTATTCAGTATTTTGATGGAGAAAGATATGTAAAGTTATGGTAGTTCAAGTTCTGGGAACGAGGTCGCTCATGATAAATGTCAACCAAAAAATGATTGAAAATCTTCCAGTTCATTACAAGAATAAAACAGAACACAGGGAAACACATGATGAGTGAAGGGAGGGATGGATGGGCAGGAATAAAAATGATCAACATGGGGAAGCATAAAGAGTTGAAGCTTTTCATTTTTCTAATGTGGCAGCTAACTCAGAAAATAAGCACGGCAGGTATAATTTTGAACTTTTGAATTACTGATATCTAGAGTCAATTGATGGCAGATGACTTTGAACATGGCTGTACTCCCGGCAGGTGAAGTTCACTGCGATCATTTTTAGAAAAGAAGAAACCCTGACTTCCTCCTGGAAAGGAATTCGAAGGACCAATCACCATGGATCTAGTGTACATTCCCGAAGACTTATCCAGCTGCCCCAAATTTGGGAATAAATCCTGTCCGCCCACCAACCGCTCTTTTCGTGTCCGTGTGATAATGTACTCGTTTATGACCGGAGCCATGGTGATCACCATCTTTGGGAACTTGGTGATCATGATTTCCATATCACATTTCAAACAGCTCCACTCTCCCACCAACTTCCTGATCCTCTCCATGGCAACCACGGACTTCCTGCTGGGCTTTGTCATCATGCCTTACAGCATGGTGAGATCAGTGGAGAGCTGCTGGTATTTCGGAGATGGCTTTTGCAAATTCCACGCGAGCTTCGACATGATGCTGAGCCTGACCTCCATATTCCACCTGTGCTCCATCGCCATCGACCGATTTTATGCGGTGTGTTATCCTTTGCACTACACCACCACCATGACGGTGTCCATGATCAAGAGGCTGCTGGCTTTTTGCTGGGCGGCCCCTGCTCTTTTTTCTTTTGGCTTAGTTCTATCAGAGGCCAATGTGTCCGGTATGCAGAGTTACGAGATTCTTGTGGCGTGCTTCAATTTCTGTGCACTTACGTTCAACAAGTTCTGGGGGACAATACTGTTCACTACCTGCTTCTTCACGCCTGGCTCCATCATGGTTGGCATTTATGGTAAAATTTTTATTGTTTCCAAACGACATGCTCGAGCCCTCAGCAACAGGCCGGAGAACACAAAAGGAGAAGTAAGAAAAAACCTGTCTAAGAAAAAGGACAGGAAAGCAGCTAAGACCCTGGGCATCGTCATGGGGGTATTTCTAGCGTGTTGGTTGCCTTGCTTTCTAGCTGTTTTGATTGACCCGTATTTAGACTACTCCACGCCCATCATAGTGCTTGATCTTCTGGTATGGCTTGGGTACTTCAACTCTACTTGCAACCCCCTCATCCATGGCTTTTTCTACCCGTGGTTTCGCAAAGCTCTTGAGCATATAGTGTCAGGAAAAATATTTCGCTCCAACTCAGAAACTACAAATCTCTTTCCTGAAGCGCATTAAGGAAAAAAACAAAACAAAAACACTATGAATATGAATTGAATACAGAAAGTGACACTATGTTGATTTTTCCAAATCCAGGTGTGGTGGTTTGAATGAGAATGTCCCTATTGGCCCATATGTTTGAATACTTGGTCCCCATTTGGTGGAACTGTTTGGGAAGGATTAAGAGGTGTGGCCTTGCTGGAGAAGTATCACTGTGGGTGGACTTTGAGGTTTTAATAGCCCAGCCACTCCCAGTTAGGTCCCTCTGTCTGTCTAGAGCTTACACATCAAGATGTAAGCTCTCAGCTACTGGTCCAGTGGCATGTCTACTGCCTACTGCCATGCTCACCCTCTGAAACTGTAAGACTCTCATAACCTGTTTCTTCTATAAGTTGCCTTGGTCATGGTGTCTCTTTACAGCACTAGAACAGTGACTAAGAAACTGCAAACACTGGTCTATCTATGATATTTCAGCAAATGCAGTTCTTTAAGCTGCCAAAATCTCCTTCCAACAGCTTTAACCAGCTAACCGATAAATTCATTGATTAACTGAGTCTGCATCCAGAATGTAGTTACCTCTGTCTGCTATAAACAAGAACAATAAAAAAAACTGTATAGAAGAAATATGAAGTGTAACATGGAATAAATTTATACTCTTAAGACAAAGACTGTCTTCAGAATAAATAATTTAAAGTGCTAACGGTTTTGGATCCTGTCTAATTGTGCTTTAGGAATTCATGGGAAGATTTGTATGATTTGATGGAGCTTCCAGTGGACTGCTTTGTTTGACACAATTCTCTTAAATACCTTAGTTCCCACGCTAGGTGCTGCTTTCCTCTCTGACCTTCTCCACTCACTCCAGACAGATTGCATTCAAGAGCCCTCTTCGCCCAGGGTTTCCATAGTATTCACCAGTGGGAAACAGCAGGAAGGGGTCAGTGGTTAGAGGAAGGGTGAGATGAGTCAAACTTTCCACACAGGTATCTTCTGCAAATGTGCCCCAGGGCTGGCTGTAGTTTCCAGAAAAAGGTCATGTGGTGTCCCCACAGCCATGTGTGGAAATTCTGCAACTGTACCCTTCCAGGTCCATTCTGGTGTAGCATGAATGCCATACTGCCATTGGTCTTAGGTACCAGGCTTTCTCTTGCTGTTTTGGTTAAACCAGTATCCACATTTGGCTTTGTAAATAGTTCCTTTGTTGGAGGTTCCTCACCCTGCAGCGTGGCAGCACTATCTGTCCTCTGTTAAACATCTCATGAACTGGGGCTTTCCCTTGTTCCAAAGAGACCCATCTTAAACAAGTGGGAAGGTGAAGGTCAACACCAAAGATTGCCCTCTGACCTTCACACCAGATTCAGTGGCACAAGCCTGCACCCACACACACTCACAAACACACTCACACATCTCTCTCTCACCAACATATAACATTAAAAAAATAAATACACATTATACATTTATGTGTTGTCGATCTGGAAAGCGTGGAAAGATGAGTCTTGTCATCCCAACTGAGCACAAAATCAAATCTTCACATCTCTGGCCAAGCCATCATCCCTACTTACAAATGTATTTGATTTCATGAGTGAATTCCTCAGAGGAGGCAATAATGTTAATTTTAACAAGTTGATTCAAATATGAACAATTTGATTCTATATTTTTAAAATAAATACTTAAGCGGAATTTTAGTAATTTTGTGGTTTCAGTGATTAAAGGAAATGATCTGAAACAATATCCAGAACTCTAATGGAGGCATGCTCCCCATCAATTATGGAGCTATCCACATCATGATGGACTTGTCCCATTTCATATGCGTCCTTGTGGGGGCATGTTGAGAATCAAGGTCAGGGATTCCTGTGTGTAAGGCATATCTCTACACTGAACTGTGACTAGACCCTCCTCTTCCTCTGGTCTCCCCCACCCCCCTTTTTTTTTAAAGGACACTTGATTTGTTATATTGCCCAAGTTGGCAACTCTGGCTATCCTCCTGTCTCTACATCCTGAATACTAGGATTATAGGTGTATTTTAAACTTATAGCTAGATAATGTTGACAAAGTAAATTCCTTTGTGAAGAATTGATGCTGGGGTATATTTTCTGTTGCTGACAAGCCAGAGGCCTGCCCACTCTACCTAGTCAGTTTTAGGTCAGCCAGGACTGCACAGCCACATCCTGTTTCAAAAAGCCAAATAGAGGCTGGAGAGATGGCCTGTCCCAGAGATTAGGAGTGTGTACTGCTCAAGCAGAGGACCTGAGTTCATTTCCCTGTATCCACATCAGTATACTCACTATTACCTATAACTCCTGCTCCAGGAAGATGCCAAGTCTAAGGCCTCTGAGGGCACTTGTACTCCTGTGCACATACCCCATCCCATCCAGACGCATAATTAAAACAAATCTTTAAAAAAGGCAAATAATCTGGCCTCTAGATTAAAGACAAATAATCTAGCACAAGAGGTAAGGTGAACATTTGCTGGGCTACACTTTCTCCTCGTCTGTTTCCTCCTGTGTTTCTCTGTTCCTTCTTTCCTCCTTCCCATTTCCCACTCTGCCCACCTTTGACCTTGTGCAAGACAGATCTGGGTTGTCTCTGAGGCCACAGCCATAAGGTCACAAAGCTAGTTTGCTCTCCGGAGCCCATTCTCTCTGGTGGCTTCCTGTGATCTCTGCTGGCAGAAGAGGGCAGGTGATGAAAGGGTCAGCTGCACACTGTGAGGACACAGGAAATGCAGCCTCAAGAGGCACATTTTATGCTTAAATAGAGAGGACGGCGCAGCCTGCCAGAAGCCGCTCCCAGGAGCATGAACCTATGTCCTATGTGTCTATTACAGAGTGGGAAATGAGCGGGGAGTAGAGGACTGAGGAAACATCGTGCTCATTTGCCTGGTAAGAGACTGGCACTCTAGTTATTCTTGGCTCAATAACTGTTGCTCTAAATTACCTATTAGAGAACCAATTTCCGGTAAAAGGAGATTGTATTATGAAATGGGGAAAAAATTCAGATTGTTTTTGGGTGGCTTTTTTTGTTGTTGTTGTTGTTATTGTTGCTGTTATTGGTCTATAGAGGGAAGCCACACTTCTGTAAACACAAACCTGGCACATTTCAAAGTGATCACTGTAATCCTAAGGAGGAATGGGGAGAGCAGATCTCCTGGTACCCCACATGCTCTCCTACCTAAGAAACTAATGCCTGAGTGAGAAGCACTGGGTAAGGAGAAATCAATGTTTTTGCAGATAGTCCCCAATGTGGGATGTTTGAGATATCTAGCAGTTAAAATAAAAAAGTATGTCTGGTAAAGCTGACATGATGTGTCTCCTAGTTTTTTTTCCCCATGTATTTATGTCATGAGTTGTGGAATACTATCTCTCAATTGAGAGAAATACATAGACATGGCTGTTATTTAGGCATTTAATATATAATAAATTTATATTTAATATTAAACTTTTATTTTTAAGATAAAATAAAAGTTATGATAGTAAGTCTTTTCTCATTTGTTTGTTTCGTTTTCAGCTTGGAGCAATATGTTGTTTTCTTTCTAGTTTTTCCAGACGGGGTCTTGCTGTGTCCCCTAGGCTGGCCTCCAGTTTGTCGACTCCTGCCTCAGCCTCCGGAACGCTGAGGTTACAAGTGTGCACACCAGGTCCATCTTGCCTTTCCAGAATCAGTATTCCACGGTCCTCGTGTCTGTTTCGTTAGTGTGTAAACTTTTCCCCAAAGAGCTACCGTTGAGCCAGGAAGTTGCAGTTCTTTCTCCTCTCCAGAATTATTGGCAAATCTTTCTTCCCACTTCCTAAAGAAATAACCAACAATTTCCCATGCTTTCCTGAGTAATGGTTGGAAATATGGTAAGTAATTTATCCCTCTGTTGCTCAAATTTGGGGGAAATGTTACAGGTTAAAAGAAGAGCAAGATAATAACTTCCTATTATGGAAGAGAGATGCTATGAAGGATTTTATTGTTTTAAAAATTACTGTAAAAATTTATTTTTTAATTTGGAGGCAAATTACTAAAAAAAGGGGGGGGGAATGAGCTTTAGCATGTCAAGTTTTAAAACTGCATGTAAAAATTCATCTCCACTCACTTCCTTGACAGTTTCCTATAACAAAGCACTAGTTCAACAGTCAAGAGTGGTGCATACAGCTGCTGGTCAGGAGCTCGGGTTGGGATTTAGTGACATTACCTTAGCTATTCTCCCAGGGAACCATTTTAAAACACTGTGTGTGTTTCACCTTATCATTGTCCTCAGCTCATGTCCTTCTGTTTAACTACTTCCCAAGGACATGTAACTATATTTTATTCTGTTTTTTGTCTCAATGGAACCTTTAACTATTTCCTTAGTACATATAACTATGCAACAGGAATGAGATCAGATACTGGGAGCTGCTAGAAGAGTTTCATTCATTTTCAAGAAAACCCCTGCTGGGTTGAAGCTCACTGTTAAGAGTACCTGCAAACATCCTCACAGCCTCGGCTAGGCTCCTCAGCTCCTCCCCGGAAAACATACTTCACAAACGAGGTAAGTTCAATTTTCTGAGGCATCATTGTGGTCGGAGGCTCCAAATCAGCCCAAGCAGACACAAGAGCAGTTAATGCAGGGCAGCACAACAGACGTCATGGGAGAGAAGGGGCGGATGAATCAGGGTCGCAGAACAGACTCCGGAGGTGAACTGCGACCCCGGAATGGCAGTTGAAGCAAGTATTGAAGCATAAAAATGATAAGCATTTGTTGCCAAGTCACAGTTACAATTTTCACCAATCAGGATTTAGAGGTTAGGGGCTTCCTTGAAAGTTTCATCGTTGTCGATCAACATACAATGCAAGCTTTTAAGTCCCACGCATTTGTTCCTTCTGTTGTTAGGAACAGCCAGGATGTTCCTAAAGAACTAAAGATGCATGTTGATAATTTCTAGGGTTCATGGAGGAGGTGGGCCAGCCATTGAAAGGTTCTCAGTTCCTCTAGGACTTGGGAACTTGAATTTTGTTTACTACAGGTAAAATGGAGTCTGAAGTCAAAATGGCGGTGCTCAGGCCAAGGTGCCTTGGCCTGCTCCCTTCAGCATTTAGCTTGACAAAACTGAAACTTAAAATGTTAATAACTGTACGGTGACATAATGGAGATTGTAAAGTTTCATTTGGGAAATAAAATTTTTGTGACTAAGCAGTTGTGGAAAACACCTGAGGAATTTTGTGGTGATTCTTGGTTATCTCTAAAGTTACTTTTTTGTTTGTTTGTTTGCTTGTTTTGGTTTTTTTGAGACTGGGTTTCTCTCTGTAATAGGCCTGGCTGTCCTGGAACTGGCTCTGTAGAGACCAGGTTGGCTTTGAACTCACAGAGATCCACCTGCCTCTGCCTCCCAAGTGCTGGGATTAAAGGCATGTGTCACTACTATCTGGCAACATTAATTTATTCAATGAGGTAATCATGTGTTTAAGATTTTATTATTTTTAGTCTAATAGCTTGGGACCCAAATTGATACATAATCAAATAATCTGTGCTGTGGATCTGATTATCTGTGTTGTGGTTGAACTTCTTATATTTGACTTCCTACAGCTTAATTTCTCAACTTCATTTTCATTACAGTATCGGTTGATACAATTAAAAAAGAAAAAATACTAAACTTACAAATTAAATTTCTATATCCAAAGCCAATAAAATATGCTAAAGTATTAATATTCCAAATAATATACAGACACAGGAAACAGTGACTGAGGCATTACAGCTAATGATAGAAACGTTGTTTTCAAAGGTTCTATGTTCTCAGTACTGTCTTCTTATAAATCTGGCTCAGGATGCATTTGTGGGATCACTTTCCCATGGGGTCAGGGAGTTTTAGTCTGTTCTTAGGCCAAAGTCCATTTCTCCAATCTGGCCCTGGATCTCACAAATGCTTATGATTGGCTACCAGAGAGACGTGCCCAGAGTCAGCACTGGAAAAACAAACCTGTGTCAAAGCCTGGGTGAGTCAGCCCCATTGTTCTCAGCATATTAAAGTTATAAAATAGAAGGTTGAGCAATACACACCTGTATATCAAATTTGTTAGCAATTCCAAACTTGGAATTTATGTCCCTGAGGGTCCTCAGCCACAACTCTAGTTCCTGAATGCAGATGCTAAATGAAAGCCATGAGATTTACGGAGTCTGTTAGTTATTTCAGTCATTTTTTTCCTCACTTTGGACCTTATTTATGTACATACAGCCTTGCAATCTTGGCCACACTTTTACTCTAAATTCTGCAGACTCTGTTCGTCACATGGCAAAGAGAAATGCTTCCCGGTGGCAGAGGCAGCAGCTCACAGGGAAGATTGTTTTATAAAAGAAACAGGACAGCTGCAGATTATAACCATCATTTAATCTAATTAGCAATTCTGCTGCTCATGATCATTCTGGAGGGTATTTTAATATGGAAAATAGGTTAATAGAACTGGACAGGAAAAATTCTTGATCAGTTTATGGAATTAGGGCTATAAATTAATAAGATGGCATATGCTTCTACCTGGCATATACGGGTATTGGGTAACCCTATCAATCCAGGGTTTTTCAGTTGCCTTCCTGCTCAGGTTGTGGCTTCAGACTAACATGGTTCTCTCCTGGGAGCTTGTGAGAATGCAAACTTACAGCCTCCCACCTCAGAATCAGAGTCCAAGTTTTAGGAAGATCCACAAGTGATTCCTATGCATATGAGATTTAGAGAAAACACTTTCCTGGTTCATAGGGACTTCCAACTTGGTTCAGACTTGCAAGCTAGCTAGGATTCAATGGACAATTGCTCTACCAATGGTTTTTGTTGTTCTTTTTCTTTTTTTTCTTTTCCACAGAAAGAAACACAGCTCTTTTGAAAAGGACTCATACCACTCCCAAGACAAAGATAATGAATGCACCTGACCTCTGGAGGCCCCCGGAAGTACAGTTTTGCTTTGCGGTGGCAAACAATTCCTGCCCTAGGAAGGAGAGGCCCATGTTGGTCGTCTGTGCCATGTACCTTGTCATGATTGGCGCAATAGTGATGACCATGCTGGGAAACATGGTTGTGATCATTTCTATTGCCCACTTCAAACAGCTCCACTCCCCAACCAACTTCCTTATTCTCTCTATGGCCACCACGGACTTCCTGTTGAGCTGTGTGGTCATGCCTTTCAGTATGATCAGGTCCATAGAGTCCTGCTGGTATTTTGGAGACCTCTTTTGCAAAGTTCACAGCTGCTGTGACATCATGCTCTGCACCACCTCCATTTTCCACCTCTGCTTCATCTCAGTTGACCGCTACTATGCTGTGTGTGATCCTTTGCATTACGTCACCAAAATCACCATCCCTGTCATAGAGGTCTTTCTACTTGTCAGTTGGTCCATTCCCATCTTTTTTGCCTTCGGCCTGGTATTCTCAGAATTAAATTTGATCAGTGCTGAGGATTTTGTGGCAGCCATTGACTGTACAGGTTTGTGTGTGTTGATATTTAACAAGCTGTGGGGAGTGTTAGCTTCCTTCATAGCCTTCTTTCTGCCTGGGACAGTCATGGTGGGGATTTACATACACATTTTCACAGTTGCCCGAAAGCATGCCAGGCAGATTGGTACAGGTCCTGGGACAAAACAGGCCCTCCCAGAAAGCAAGGTGAAGGTCACATCCAAAAAAGAAAGCAAGGCCACCAAGACTTTGAGCATTGTCATGGGAGTGTTTGTGTTGTGCTGGCTGCCATTTTTCATTTTGACAATCGTAGACCCTTTCATTGATTTTACAACCCCTGAAGATTTGTATAATGTTTTCCTCTGGCTAGGTTATTTTAATTCCACTTTCAATCCCATCATATATGGCATGTTCTATCCTTGGTTTCGCAAAGCCCTGAGGATGATAGTCACAGGAATGATCTTCCGTTCTGACTCTTCTACCTCAAGCCTGCATCCTGCACATTCTTAGACAATGCCCTCCCTTTAGCCTAGCTTATTATTATTATTGTTGTTGTTGTTGTTATTATTATTATTATTTTGGTTTTTCGAGACAGGGTTTCTCTGTGTAGCTTTGAGCCTCTCCTGGATTTCACTTGGTAGCCCAGGCTGGCCGCAGACTCACAGAGATCCGCCTGGCTCTGCCTCCCGAGTGCTGGGATTAAAGGCATGCACGACCACCACCCGGCTAGCCTAGCTTATTTTTAAAGAAATGATCCTGAATGTTCTTTCTTCCCAAGGAACGAGGAGTTGGGTGGTTAGATGAGAAAACTTTCCAGCAGACATTATGGCCACCTGAGAAAACAGTAGACCTAATGTGCCTTTTGTCATTGTGCTGGTGTGTGTGTGTGTGTGTGTGTGTGTGTGTGTGTGTGTGCACCAAAGCTCACAGAATGGTTCATTTCTGGGCTGCTACATAGGGCACTCATTTCAGCAAACAAGAAAACCAATTCCCAGCAAACGCTGGTGACTCCTGAAGTATGAAATTTAGGGATTTACTTCTTTGGCTTAGATTTAATGAGAGTGTCCTCACTTGAACTTGGAACATCAGGGAAGGAGACACAGGCACTTTCTACAATCACCGACAGCCACGTACCATCTCTAATTATTCAAACCTCTGCTGAGACCATTATTGTTTGTATAGAGGATGGATAAAGAGCTTGTGCATACCAGGGACCCAAAATTAAGGAATATGCAACAAGAGCAGGTAAAACGAAGCAGACAGTTATCAATACTTTCAGATTTAAGTCTCTTTTCAGGAAGAATTGATGAGGGATTCATCATAACTCATAACACTGAACTCTCAGTAAATGAGAAAAAGAAGTAAAGAAAGAGTCTGAGGAAAACTTTTCCTTTTTTCTTTTGATGTACATCTTTGCTGTGTATTGGTATGTATACATTCTGTGAGTATATGTACTAAGTGTGTGTGTGTGTGTGTATGTGTGTGTGTGTGTGTGTGTGTGTGTGTCGGGGACAGGAGTATGTGTTTGGTGTGTGTATGCACTAACTGTTAACCAAGTCTTAAGTTAATTACAAAACGGAACTCTTTTCCCCATCCCATACTTTGGGACATTGTTGTCTCACTGAATGTCATTTCCTCATGTTCTCTTTGTTTCTAGCTTCCTCCTCCCTCAGACATGAACTTCACTAACACTGTCCCTTGTCATCTTGTTCTTCTTTTCTAATTCCTGCAGTGATATCAGCACTCTTTGTCAAGTCGATTCTCCTTATCTATTCACTTGGCCAATGCCATGACAGTCTGTTGTAGGATGCTTGGGGTTTCCGGTGTTCATGTCTGTAAATCTTAAGTGAACGCTTTATGAGCCTGTTCTCATCTTTGATCTACCCTTAGCCCAGTATTTCCACTGGCCAATTGCTCTTCAGTGAAAAACACCTCTAAAGAAACATTTCTATTCCTAGCTGGAAGCCCCTGGGAATCTCTTGACCTGCATGTACTGTTAAATATCTGAGCTTGCAGAGGTCAGGATTTGATCATCTGAATAGAGCATCTTCAAGGTACAGAGAAATCTTCAAGGTTCAGTAAATTACTCTTGTTATCACAGGACAATAGTTGAAGTGAAAATTGGGCTTTGAGGTGATTGGCCACAGTTTATTGTCTTGTGGGTGAGGTCATTTAATCCTTTAGATAGTCTTCACCCTGAAAGCCGATGGCAGCATCCAGAAGCTGAGGTACTCTTTCTTTTCAAAGAGCCAAAGGCACAGGGGAGTTCCTCAGGGCTGTACCTCAGTGCAGGTCTTGAAGGTACAAGATGTCCTCTTATAATTAATTGCAGGGACAACTTAAGACTCCTTTCTGGCCGGGCGGTGGTGGCGCACGCCTTTAATCCCAGCACTCGGGAGGCAGAGCCAGGCGGATCTCTGTGAGTTCGAG